ACATTCACCAAACAACTCAGTCTCATCTTGATCTGAACAAAAGTGATGAGGGTCAATATCGACATTTGAAAACAGAGTGATAGGAACAGGATTATTGTGGGGAAAACACTGAAAATAGGATCTTAAAATTGGCTACAAACACAAGATAAATCACTTATGGGTTTACCAACTGAAAACAAATCACTAGTACTCCATCTTCCTTATGTGTAAAATAATAAAAATATTCAGTATTTAATATCCAAACAAGAAGTACATTCAAGCACTTTTAAAACAGTGAAGTGTCAAAGAAAAAGTTAGTGATTTTACTTCCACCAGAAGTGAATTTATGTTACCCTTGCTAAAAACAGAAATCATTCATGGATAGTTCAGAGGTCTGTTATAGCTAAATCTGGCAAAGCCAGAACTGATCTCTGGATCATGCCACCTGAGCCTATACTTTCTCACCTTCTTTCTAGAAATTTTTCTTCCTTAAGTATGTCTCCTTTTTTCAACAACTCTTAGTTTCTACAAAAATACCCGTGGAATCTGCATATAAACTTTTGCTCAAAGCATCAGAGGAAACTTTAAAAATTTACATTAACAAAACCCCATTCATTTTCCCAAACATTTATAGACATCTTGTCCTATGCAACTATCTGAAAATCAAAACTGAAAGTTACAATCTTAGCATATTACATTAACTTGCCTTAAAGAAAACAAAGGGCTGGAGAGACAGCTCACTAGAATAAGCACCTGCCTGGCAAGTGCAGGGTCCTGAGTTCAATCCCTGGCACCACCAAAAAAAAAAAAAAGCTAAGAAAACAAGGCTTCCTTTTAGCAAAAAAAAAAAAAAAAAAAAATAGTAATTTTTGGTGATCAAAAAAAAGAAAACTGAACACTGACTACATGAATTGTACATATATGTATATATATGAATTATATATCATCTTATAAAGGATATAGAAATAATATATACACTTACTATAAAATTTCCTTGATTATCATAAATGTGTATTTCTCCATTTGCCATGCCAAAAAGTAAAACTTTACTGTCTGCAGACCATGCTACATGGCATAGCTGTATTCCCTTCAATTCTTTACCCCAAATTCGATTTCCTAAAATAAAACACAACACAGTTACTCACACTTCAGAGTCATGGTCCTCCAGTAACTGCTTTTAAAACCTGTTTCTCCCTAAAGAGCTATCACATTCTTCACAGCATTCGGGCAGTCATTCAATTTAAATACCCTTAGAGACATTTAGTTACAGTAACATCTGTGTCAAATTTTCTCCCCTTCTCCCAACTAACAGATAAGCCTATCTCCTATTTTGAAAGAAAATAAACGCCATAAAAAGAAATTTCTCTTGTTCCCATCTTCACACATTCAAAGTACCATATCACGAATCCACGCACACTCGGAGAGCTTTGCCCTCTAGTACCCAGGAGGGGCACCTCCACACACACCCCGACGCAAGCCAGTCCCTCCACCTAGTCCATGCTCTAACTCCTTCCTCCTTTGCAAAGGTCTCCTTCTATTAATTACTCTGGTTTTCCCACCAGATTTTTCTCTCCGGGCCTTTTCACATAAACACTTAAATATACCAACCTTCTCAATCATCACCTCAAGGAAAGCAAAAGTGCTGTTGCACCAAAGTACAGGCTGTAGTGCAAAGAATGTGAAGCTGTGAGGTAGGCAGGGCCATGAGGAGAACCTGACTGAGAGAGCGGGGCCAGGAGGCCACCACTGTCACTTCAGGAACAACAAAGACATCTGGGTAGCCAGGTGGGGGTTATTCCAGAGCGCTAGGCCAACAGACATGATTGTAGGGAAGACTGTGAAGGTTTCTTCACCAACAGTTTGACTTAACACAAAGAAGTGTTCAGTGTTCAGAGATCACGTCTACGTGAGTGGTGGCTGTGCGGTGCCCGTGCACCTCCGGACAGGAACAAATGGAAGCCAACATACAGTGTGGTCCTGGGCAGAGAGCTGGTGGAGCACGGGGTGTAGTCATGGGGCGGGGAGGTACCCAAAGAGACACACCTACCCACAAGGCATACGTACTGGCTTTATACCTGAGGGGGTCTGCTGTGTAGGCAGCAGCCTCCCCCATCTGCATAGCAACTGTCTTCATCACCACCCAATGATGGTCACAGTTCTGCCAGACTATAGATGGCAGCTAGCTGTCATTAACCTATTTTCTAACATGGTGATTCCTGTCCATCCAATGAATCATTTGTATGTTGACCACTATATGTAACCAACTTTTGTCTGGCAAAATAACTGCCGCACAATGATGAATAGCATACCTTGAAATTAGGGGGAGGGGCATGCCAAGTTGGGCATCACTTTGTCTTAGCAATTAATGGGATACTGATTACTAAAAGAATTCATCTTCACCCAAGGTGCCGGCTGTACAGTCTCTAACTGTACTAATTGTTGCACTGCTGTGGACTTGGCTGCCTTGTGATGAATCTTCATACTTATACTGTGCCAGGCCATTGTTAAAATGAACTGCTGACAGTGGGTGGTGGATTTTACCTGACCTATAAAGGATTTCTTTGAAATGGCACTACCTGAGAGACATGCTATTATTTGCTTCTGTTTTTTGAGCTTTGTGGATAATGTACAGATTTAAAAACAGATCTCGTTGCTGATTTTTCCCTTTCTTTCTTTCTTTCTTTCTCTCTCTCTCTCTCTCTCTCTCTCTCTCTCTCTCTCTCTCTCTCTCTCTCTTTCTTTCTTTCTTTCATTGAACTCAGGCCCTTGCGCTCGCCAGGAGAGCACTTATTCTACTGAGCTACCTCCCTGGCCCCATTTCTTTTTTTTTTTTAAGGATTTTTTTCCATGTATTTAGTAGAGGGTCTACAGGGTCTCACTACATAGATCAGACTTGTAGTGATTCTCCTGCTGTCAGCTTCCCAAGCACTGGGATTACAGGGGCGCACCACCACACCCAGTCTCAATCAGCATCTCATTGCACCCTAGGGGCAGGGCCTGCACAGCATGATGGGGATCGAACCCCAGTCCCCGCACCTGCCTAAGCAGGCACTTTAGTCCACTCAGCTATCTGGCTGGCCCTGATTTGTCCATTTCTCTGCCTGTACTTCGTTATGTCTGGGATCAGTCTAACTCATCTGATTTAATATGCATTCAGAAAGCACTATAATTATTAAACACCCTATTTACAGACAGATGAAATAAATTTATTTCAACAAAAATAACACCTCCTTCCATGCTCTATTCCCCCTCTAGGTACCATCCTGTTTCTATCATTTCTTCCCTGATGAAACCACTACAAAGCAGCTCTGAGCAGGAGTTAAATTAACCAGTCAGCTTTCCATGTTCACTTGTGAGTCTGTCCAAGGCCGAGGCCCTTGTCTGGAGATGGACAGAGGACTCGTAGTAAGTGAACCTCGGAGTCATGGATCCCGGCTGAGGCCTGCAGTGGTGAGTGAAGCCCTGACCCTCAAAGGACAGGACAAGGCCACAGCTACGGACACCTGGCTCCAACCTCAGTTAACTACGTAAAGACTGTAGCTGAAGGCTCCACACTCCTGCAGTGACAGCCTTCTTGGAGATAACAGGGTTCCCTAACTAACATAATCTATTACTTGGAGAAGTCCTTGATCTGACCTCCAAGGTTCCTGAACTGTCCTGCTCAGAGTCCAGCCTTTCTTCAGTACTCCCCTCCTTTCTTTGATAACTAAATAAGGCCACCCAGAGAAGATCTTTGTCTTAGCCCCCAGAGCATTTCCAGTTCTGACAGAGAGTTTTGATCCTCAGTTACCTAAAGTCACACCACTCGACTCTTTTATTTAAGCCTTTGCTATACACTCAAGGGCCTGATCAGCCCTCAATAACTGAGCGATATTATTAATGTGTTACTTCCTAACCGAAGTCCTGAGCTCTTCACTTTTGCAGTCACCATTTCCTTAGCCCTTTGCCCTTCCCAGTCTAGTTTCTGCCCCACAACTCCACTGAATCCACCTCCATTGAAGCCAGTAACTACCTGTTGCTGTAGCCTATCGATACTACTTCTTTCTGACTATCCTCTCCTTCTTGACCCTGTCTTGTCTTCCACAGGGCTTATATTCCTTTACTCCAACATACCTACTTTTCAGTATCCTTTAGAGAATTCTCTCCTGTCTATCTCTTAAGTGTTGCCTCTTCATTTACATTAATGTTTAAACTCCCATGGATGTGCTGGTGAGGCCCAACATTATGCCTTCAGCCTAGCCAGCGCTAAGCTGCACACACGCAGCGCCTACTACAGTCTGGATATATTTACACGCATGGCATATGCTGTGACCAAATCAACATGTCCAAAACTGAAACCCCACCACAAAATAAGTCTTTTTCCAAAGTCCATGCTACTTCACTGAAAGG